AAATGTGTAACTATACTTTGAGTATAATCAGAATTACAGAATCATGGATGTTTAGTTTGGAGAAGAGGAGATTGAGGGGGGATATGATTGCTCTCTTTAAATATTTGAAAGGATGTCATCTGGGGGAGGGCAAGGAGCTGTTCCAGTTGGCAGCAGAGGATAGGATCCGAAGCGACGAGTTTAAAGTACATGCAGAAAGGTATTGGCTGGATATTAGGAAAAACGTTTTCACAGTCAGAGTGGTTCAAAGGTGGAATCAGCTACCTAGGGAGGTGGTTAGCTCCCTTTCACTGACAGCTTTCAAGAAGAGGCTGGACGAATATTTGTCAGAGATGCTTTAGGCTGGTCCTGCATTCGGTAGGGGGTTGGACTAGATGGTCTGTATGGCCCCTCCAACTCTATGATTCTATGATACCAGACTCTCTCAATCACACAAAAGAGATAGATAGGCAAGCTTCTGTTTCCTGCACTGGCTGAGGCTCCTCCCCTTCTCCCTCCCAGGGGGAAGGGAGGGAATGAGCCAGAGCTTGCTTCCTGGTTAGGCTTCCTCATTCACACAGGAGACAAAGGCAAGCCTTTCTTCCCCTCCATTGGCTAAGATTCCTCCCAGGAGGGAGGGAAGGAGGGAGAGCTTGTTTTGGTTGGGCTGCCTCAATCACAGGGGAGAAATACAAAGCACCTTTAAGACCCTCATGATCCAGTCTTTCTTAGTACGAAATCAATGTGAAATATTTTAGATGAAGAATAACAACAAGCCAGTGAAGTGGATTAGGCTGAGAGTGTGTGTCCAGGCCAAGTTCACCCAGCAAATTTCCTTTGGGGATTTTGAACCTAGACTTCCCAGGTAGACAGATACTGACCACTGAGGAATACTATAGTTTTGTAGACAAACACATAGCCCTCAGTCTGTGTCATGGTGTCTTCTCATGTTCCTGACCAGCACACAAAGCAATTTATGTACAAAAGGTCGCAATGACCAGCCATTACATGTTTTCCCCTAGGTCCTAGGCTCAGAACACTGAGCATGAGATTTCTGTAATGGATGTCAATAAATCAAAAGTAGGTTTGCAGCTTACAGATACATACTTGAACAGCATACTCAAGATTGCTACAGCACAGAAACCTTGGTGCAATAATTCAGAGCAAGAAGTGTCAGTTATCAGAGACTGTTAAATAAACAAAATTTTGCAAAGGTGCTAATATTTCAAGCATGTTTTTATTTTAAATAAAAAAATCTTTGTGTTTGTGTCCTTTATAAAGTGTATATATCCACTACCTGGCATTACATTTTATGACACACATGGCCTGACCTGACAAAGTCCAATTTATGTCAAATCCAGCCCTCATAACAAATGAGTTCGACACGTGTGAGAGTGAGTTAGGAAGAGCTGCTTGCTGCATGGCTGATTTAAGGGGAAGCTAGAGCTGAGCTTTCCTGGGGGCACCTGCTTTGGGGGGCTATAACTCACACATCCCAAATCCAATCTTCACCAAACGTGGCGGACAGATGGAGGAGAGCCTGCTGAAAACTCTCTGTGAGTTTGGTGTCTCTAACACACGAGGGGGCTGTTCTACCACCTCCGAAACCCACGAACCGAACAAGCAACAAACTGGTTCAGTAAATGGGAAACGTTCATGAAAGTTTGTGGTTTGTGTAATCAAACAAAGCACGAACCACCATGAATCACCATTTTCCCGGTTCGTGCCCATCCCTCGATGGGACTGACCATCATCTGGTGAGGCTGTGCATGTAAATCTCTGATTCTGCCTCAAATGCTACTGGCCTTTGAAGCCAAAATGAAGTTAGCCATTTAGTCAGACATGATGATCACCTTTGCTGCTTCACTCTTAAATTCAAGTAGCCTACATTATTTAGGCTTTTGCTACTTTGCAGTGACATGACACCCCTTCACTTTCAAGTATCCTTTAATTTCATCGTCACAATGGCCTGTGTCATAACACTCTGCTAAGGAAAGTTTGAAGCCTTCCTCCAACTTGAGAGGCTCTTCCTCCAATTTAAGTTGGAGCAAGGCTACTTAGGCTGGAGAAACTTCCTCTATCCTGAGGTAGGATGCCGCCTAACATTTCTGGCTGTGTGTTCAGCTTTCTCAGTTAACTTTTAATCGACCCTTAACAAAGTTTAATAAAGTCCCTCTTTCCCCCACATTTTGCCAAATGCTTGCTTGGTGAAATGTGTCATTGCTGCTGGGAAGCCCTCCTGATCTTGTCCTATGCTATATTCCTAGTTTTTGACTCCTATTTGTCAGACAAAAGTCTTGAAATATTACTTTCAATAGGACATCAATGACTGGACATGCATATGAAAATCAAACTGTTTTTATTCTGTGGTTGCTCTGAATGACCTTAACATTGGTTCCCTTCCCCAGGCTTCACTGAACCAAATTCACCATTTCTGTTCAGGTGCTGTGATACTTGATAGCTGAGATGAAGCCAAGGAGAGTGTATGTGTTTGTACAGACTAATAATAAGCGAGACTTTCAGTTTCCCAGTGGTCAAAAAGGAATGAAATGAAAGGAATGTTGATAGTGGGTGAAACAGAAAAGGTTCAAAGGCTGCATATAAACTGCAGTCTGGCTCTATACTGCCAACTGATTTCTCTTACTTCCAGGACACAGAAACTGCTTTAACTAAAACCCATAACCTCTTTTTTCTAAGTGTAGTTCCTATTATCTTCATCTGTTCAGTGTGGATTTGCACAATCGGGGTTTTCATGGGATGATTACAATTATCATGTTATAGTCTGATGTTTTGAAGCTTCTATTATATGTTTGTTCGCTCTAGGAATTCAGTAAGTGCAGGTGGTGACCGTCAACAGGTATAAAGGTGGCCTGTGATGAAAATATCATTGCATGAATGGGCTTCATAGCGTCTGTTGAATCGTCACCTAAATTTCCTATTCCCTGTAATCATACCAGTTCTGAAACCTTTTATATTAACTTTGCCTCTGTATTTCCTCATATTCCTAACAGACTGTGAACATATTTTCTAAATTGTTTTGTTTCCTTATTTCAAAGCTGTCCCTACAGTTTCCTCCTCCCTTCTCACCATGAGGATTCTCACCTTCTTCTGAACTGTTAACTTGTTCTCTCAGTTACCTTATTTGGACTTGTAAATATTTCAGGAACAGAGGTCACATTTATGTAAGTGATGTCTACATCCAAGGTGCTGGAAATGCTTTTGAAGCCATAGATGGCCCTAAAATACATGTTTATACGAGGGCTTCTTGTGTTGGTCAGCTGTGTTTCATGTGCTGATGTAAGAAACACATTCTAACCAATGCCTTCTGTGTTATGAAAATTTGCCCTGTAAGAAAGGGAAATAGTGCTGATGCTGTTGCTTATGTAATCCAGGGTCCCCGTCCTTTCTGAGCCTGCAGGCACTTTTGGAATTCCGGCACAGCATGGTGGGTGCAACCACAAAATGGCTGCTGGCCTCAGGAGGCAGAGCCAGCCACAGAATGGCTACCATAGCTTACCTTCTGCCACACAGTGAACATCTTTGTGCTGCAGTGACCGCTGCTGCCAAAGGAATGTGTTTAAAAATCTGACAGCCAATCAAAACTCCAGTGGCCAATGAGAAGCCTTGGTGGGCAAAGTCCCCACCTGGCCCCACCCTCTTTCTAAAAATACTTGGCGGGTGCCAGGAAATGTGTCTGCAGCATCATGGCAGCCATGGGCGTCACATTGGGGACCCATGATATAATCCATACATGTAATTTAGCATGCCAGAGGGCAGTGTAGCTGTTCTATTGGCTGAAGTAATGTTCAGTGACTAAAATTGTCTATTTGCATTGAGTATGACTGGCTGAGCATTTTGATCACTTGTCCCATCTGTCACCCTTCCGGCTTGGAGAAATGTTCTTTTGTATACATGTGTTAGTTGGAGATATGAAATTTAGATCTATAGAACATGTACTGCAATACTCTGCATCCAGTCACGGCGGGGTTAAATTTGATATATCTTAAACTGCTCCAGATTTCCTGAGTTAATATCATCCCTATTAGTGCTGTTCCCACAAGTCATTTAACTGAAATCCTTGGATAATAGTATTTGATTCTGTTATCAGTGAAAATAGAATTCCTGCAAACTAGCTAGTACTGCTTAAAATGGCTTTCTCCCCTTAAAGAGCCCTTGTCTATAAGAAATTTTAAATATTTCTCCGTATCTCAAAAACTTAAGGGAGGAGAGCAAATCAGGCCTCTTCTATTGGCCTGCTTGGATCCAGTGGTATTTTTCTTTTATTTGTGTTAGCCATTAAAGAAGAAAGGATGGATGTAAATAAAAATCTTCTTACCTCTCAAAACAGGGACTCAGGGTTGTTGTATTTTCATTGCTCCGTGTAAATCCCACAGTGATAGTTTAAATTTGCTTGTGTTTCACCTGTAGCTTATTTCCTGCTGCTTCATCTTTCTACAGTCACAACCAGGGGAGAATGGGAATCAAAGTGGTGTTCAAGCACACTTTATTAACTGCTCTGTACTATTCTGTGGCATTAAAAGAACTGTTGTTCTACTTTCATGCTGCCAATTTTCCCTCAGTGCTATTCCTCCTTAGCGCTAAAGATTCTAAGGTTTGGGGAGCTGTTTAGCATTCCATCTCAGGGCCAAATGACACATATCTTCACAATTTAGGCCTGGGATCAGTTTAAAACTCTAGGACACAATTCAGCACATGCAGCTGCAAAAGGGGGGAGATAACTCCCTACTGCAGCCTCTTTGGCTTGGGAAAATGGCACAGGGGGAGTGTAGGAGCCCCTTCTGCCCCTGCATCATGGTCCTGAGACAAATCAAACACCCACAATGTTTTAAAAGGAGAGGGGAGTATTTCCCCCCTTTTTGTAGTCCCCCACAGAGATTTAGATAGTACCTGCACATGACTTGTTTAAAAAAATCTTGTGTACTTTGGCCCTTATTCATACATCATATGTACAGATAGTCTGTCTCCTGCAACTCACTAATGCTAATGCTTTTGTTTTGTAGTTGTGACTGAAGGACTGCAGGTCAGGGTGCCTGAGAAGAAACGGGTAGCAATGCTTTTTCAGCCTGTTGTGCTTCGATGCCACTTTTCAACTTCTTCCACACAACCAGCTGTGGTACAATGGAAATTCAAGTCCTATTGCCAGGATCGCATGGGAGAAGCTTTGGGCGTGGTCTCTGCAGGGATCCAGGCAGTGAGCAAGAGGAACTTGGAATGGGACCCTTACGTGGACTGTGTTGACAGCAGGAGAACAGTCCGCATTGTGGCTTCCAAGCAGGGTTCTGCAGTCACAATTGGAGAATTCTACAAGGGACGAGATGTCACCATTGTTCATGGTAACTTTATAGTGGTTTAAAAATGATCAGAACCTCTGTTTTTTATTGGCAATTATGGAAAATGAGGGGAGTAGTTAAGAATTTTCTTATGGAATTGTTGCGCAGAGCGTGTGTAGTGGTCCAGAATTTTCTTATGGAATAGCCTCAGGACTGTGCTGACTAATTATTTGGCTCAACTTTATCAATGAATAAATGAATTCAAAGGATGCACAAGTTAGTCTAGTCCAACCTGTGCCACAAAGTAAGAACCCTGTTCTACCACAATGTGTACCCTAATATTGGCTTCTTCCACTCTTCATCCTATTTCACTTTTTTTTGGTCCCAGTAGACAGATCAGATTGAGATGGATGAATTTCCCAAATCAAGCTGGAAACCTAATCATGTGCATTACTTTATTTCTATCTTTGTGTGCTCATTTCCAAAACCAGGCTCAAACTTCAAAATTGCCTTGTCATTGGTTGTAGCCAAATCTCAATGTGTGGACACTCAGAGGAAGTACAGACCCCATTGTTTTGCTTTTGCACCACAACGCAGCAGAAAACTTTTTAGTGCATTACTAGCTGAAGAGTCTGAGTCCAGCTTTCATCAGTTATTTACTCCCATACAGATAAAAGGGACAAGATCAGTTTTTAGTAAATTTAAATCCCTATACATCCCTTGTTTACTCTATTAAGCATCTAAACTCTTTATTCTGAAGGGATGTTTTGAAGAATTAAAGAGAGGTGAAGAATAGAAAAGAGGAAACTTGCCTGGTTCTGTCACTGTAATGTGTAACACTTCTTTGTTTTAATCAGCCTTCTACTTTGGGACAGTATATTATTGGAATAAACAGGCTAAAGACAAATGCAGTGTAAGAAGAAAAATCACAGAGGGTTCTTTGCTTACAACATGAACCTGACTTCCTCCTGCTTTCACAGTTTACATGACAGATGTACATACAAGTGAATCAAATGCTTATTCCCTAGGCTTTTGAAATGATAGTAATTGAATGATTTGTAATGCTACACAGGCATAATTACTATTATGCCCATCTGATGTATTCAGTTGGATTATGTAGCATGCCACTGTACTTAGCCTCCTTTCAAGAAAAGGCTTTGGACAGGGATGGTTTTTGTTGAGGATAACGCTTACTCCTGATGTCTGTTGTATGGCCTCAGTAGAAAGGAGGGAAGTTACAGAAAAAAGATCAAAGAAATTGCAAACAAATCTGTAGTCAAAGCACGCTAAATAAATGCAAAAACAGGTTGCTTACCTGTAACTAGTGATCTTCAAGTGGTCATCTGTGCATTCACACCCATGGGATCTAGTGCACACACGCTGGATCAATCGGCATTGTAGCAAGAAAGAACGGATTTTCGCGCCCAGTCCCTTGGGCATGCACAGGAACCCCACATCGCATGCCCAGAGGGGTGGGCACGGACATCCCGCCAGTTCCTTTCTTACCGCCGCGTTGGAAAGACCTTTTCTCCGTCGGTCTGATCGGTTCACTGTTTTTGGCTATTGCCTCACGGCTCTTTGGATTTTTTCCTCAATTTGCTCACTTTGCTTGTAGTGAATAAAGTCCATTCCAAGTAGAAACAACGCAGTTCCGAATAGTATAATCAGCGTTTCAGATCTATTCCTTCACCAGGTAGCTCAGGTAAGTCTTCATTAACATACAATAAATATACATGTATAAGTGAGGTCCCGACTCCCGATCAAAATGTTCCAATTAGGCACAGCTCCATATCTCCTGCAAGTTGGTTTACAAACTCCTTTCCCTTCCCCTCCCCACAACAGACACCCTGTGAGGTAGGTGGGGCTGAGAGAGCTCTTTCCAGAACTGTACTTGAGAGAACAACTCTGACAGAACTATGGCTTGCCCAAGCTCATCCAGCAGCTGCAAGTGGAGGAGTGGGGAATCAAACCCAATTCTCCCAGATTAGAGTCCTCACACTTAACCAGTACACCAAACTGGAACATTTTGATCGGGATTGTTGCATTTATTTAGCATGCTTTGACTACATATTTGTTTGTGATTTCTTTGCTGTATGGCCTTAACTCTAGAACTGAACTGGTTTGCTACTTCACATTCCATGTAATCAGTTTTGTGGTTCATTTTTTTCTTCTCCTGGAATTTAAATATAGGGCTCCCAAATGCAAGTTCCACACACTAACCAGTGTTCCTTGGCAGTAATTTTTTTGTTTACTGCAGTATTGACCATGTATTTCATTCAGCCACTCTCAGGATTCTGTCCCTTCTACAACATGGGGATGTAGGCTTAGTGTTGCCCGCTCCAGGTTGGGAAATACATGGAGATTTTGGGTGTGGAGCCTGAGGAGGGCAGGGTTTAGGGAGAGGAGGGACCACAGCACGATATAATGCCATAGAGTCCATCCTCCAGTGCCATCATTCATCCATTGTCTCCAGGGGAACTGATCTTAGTTATCTGGAGATTGGTTGTAATAGCAGGAGAGCTCCAGGTGCCACCTGGAGGGTGGCAACCCTATGTAGGCTTAGTAGGCCTTCACCTTTTTTTGTTGTGCCTCTGATTCCACTCTTGATCTGGCACTGTTTTTCAGATGCAGACCTACACATTGGAAAACTGATGTGGGGAGACAGTGGGCTGTACTACTGCATCATTGTCACACCAGATGATGTGGATGGCGAGAATGAGGAGTCAGTGGAGCTGCTTGTTCTGGGTGAGTTCAGCTTGCTTTTCCAGTAAATGACACCTGCTTCTCTGTTCATTTCAGTGTACATATCAATGTGTGAAACAGTAAGGGAAAAAAGGTTCCTTGGCCCCGGTCACACAGGCCGGATATCGCGGGGGGAGTTGTGGCTATTTGCCCCGGAGTGAACTACCGCGCGGCTGCTGGATCAAACGTCCTGCCAACGTCCCGTGGTTCCGGGGGAGGTGCCGATCATACGTCAATCCTGCGGCACGGCAAAGAAGCGGTGCGGCAGGGGTTGTATTTTTAAAAAACTGAAGTGTGCACATGTGCCGTTGGGTGCTTGTGCGCATCCCGTGGAGACTTGGGGGGAAAAAACCTTTTTGCGACAGGACATGGGTGGGCGCCAGATGCCACGAGCTACCACCGGAAACATGATCAGACGCCCGCCCTTGCCCCGCGGTTTCCAGAAACTAGTACCTCAGAGGTACTAGTTTTTTACGGCGCATCTTTGGCGGGAAGCCTCGGGTTCGCCATGGGAGCTCTACGCTTCCCAGATGTTGCGGTTTGATTGCGCCCGGAAAATCTGCCTATCTTCCGTCTCTGTAGCGTGGCTAATGCTCCGTGTGACCGCAGCCCTCATTGCATTTTCTTATTCACAGTTGCTCTGTATCTTGCAAAGTTGTTTTTTGCAAGGGGAAAGCCGCTGCAAGGAGATCTTGGTCAATATACTGCTTTCCTTTCGTGTAGTTGCCCACGGAGCCCTCCCTGAAAGAGTGTAGGAGGCACAATAGAGGCTGGCAGTGGCGGTGGGGAGAATCAGTGGAAACAGCTGCCCTCTTCTGCACTTGGAAGTGCAGTGCTGTTCCACTGGAGGACACACAGGATTGGATAGAAGCCAATAAAATTATACTGAAGCAGAATTCTGAGACACAGCATGTATAAAATTGTGTTATCTTGTTTTATGTTTCATGAAACTCTAGTTCGCTCACACCAAAACACTAATCATAAACACATAATTAAAACCACATCAGCATTAGAAGCATCACCCCTAATTACAATATCAGCTACAGATTAGAAGCACATTGACGTAAAAGTGTTTTGCATTGGCCTTAAAATGCCTGGAAAGTCTCAAAGCAACTGGGTAGAGAAATGTTCAGAACAATGTTACAAAACATATTTAGGAAAATTGGAACTGCGGTGTTAGTAGAAAATTGGTTTGCCTTGTGTTTTACCATCTTTTTATTGATTACATTTATATTCCTCCATTTTTCCATTCTGAAACTGAAGACAGTGTAATGGGATTCCCTGGAGGTCTCCCATCCAGGCACTGACCAGACTCACATCAGCAGTTTTATCACATGCCATCAGCCTGCCCTTGGGCCATTATCTTGAGCTGTAACCTATTCTGCCAGAATGAATGGACAGTGGCAGCTGTGGAAACCGCTGAGGGGCCACACTGGCTTTCCTAACACATGAGTCCCACGGCAACTATAAATGTGGTACATTCAAGCTTACATATGGCCTCCCTGAGGTTGCTGTCACCCTCACACATATTGACTACTGACAATTGGCCTTTAATTTACTGTAGAAGAGAAGAAGAAAAAGAGATTGGATTTATACCCTGCCATTCACTCATGGTCACAGAGCGGCTTACAATCTTCTTTCCCTTCCCCTCCCCACAATAGACATCCTGTGATGTAGGTGGGGCTGAGAGAGCTCTTTCGAGGACTGCTTTTGAGAGAACAGCTCTGAAGGAACTTGTAACGAACCCAAGGTCACACCAGCAGCTGCACGTAGAGGAGAGGGTAATCAAACCCAGTTCTTCCAGATTAGAGTTTGCGCTCCTAACCACTACAACAAACTGGCTCTCCATCGGGCCAGAATTTTTATAGCCAGCTGACGTTTGTTATAAGCTGTACCCATTGTTTTAATGTTTATATTGTGTTGTAAATTGTAAATTGTAATTGTATTTATTATAATGATGTTACCCGTTCACAGGGTTGGTGGGATATGAATACAAATAATAAATAAATAAATAAACAGGTTAAGAGTGTGTGCAAAACTCTGGATCTGCCATCTGTGTTTTTGCCACTCTATGAAGGCCTTTCTTTTTGGCTTCATAGAAATCAAGACGGATAGGAGGTGGCAAAACACCACCAGGTAAGAGCGCAGTAACCTATTTGAAATTTTTACAGAACCAAAGTCGTAAAAACGAAACACAACTAAAGAAAGGCCCAAGAATTCAAAGACATGCCAATTTCCCACTCCTTATTGTTATTGCTATATGTGATTATTTGTGTGTTTTTCTCCCATGGAGCAAATAGTAGCAGTGTAGGGGGGGATTAAAGTCAGGGGCAAAGGGGTTAAATACCCTCCTCCCCGCTAGGGCTGCCAAGTGGGGGCGGGGAAACCCCCGCTTTGGAGGCCTGATTTCTGCCACGGCGGAATCGGGCCCCGGGGGGAACTCCGCCCCCGAAGCTGCGTCACTGGAGGTCCCCCCCGACGATCTGGGCCACGCCCCCAACGTGAGCGATGTAGCACGTCACTTCCTGTGATGTGCTGGCGGCGTGCGCGCGTCCTACGAGAGCTCCCAGAGCCCAGCAAGGCTCCCCCGCTGCCAAGGGTAAGTACACTTGGCAACCCTACTCCCTGCTGGCTCACTGATCTGGCTCTCCCTCCCTCATGACTGTTTCTTAATCCTGAGAAAGTGCTTTGGAATAAATATGGTGCGATAACCTGATAAAGGACCTTCTGCTTCACATCAGGTTTCATCCTGAGTGCTGAAGTGTCATAAGATCAGCAAGCCAGTCACCACATTTTAATTCCTCATAGTTTCTACATCTGATTGCCAATCGAGATTTTGAGCTTGTATCCATTTCTTTCATGTGCCAGTTGTAGGCTTATAGGGGTTTTAAGGACAACAATGAAAACTGAAGTTCAGTTTTAAGGCTGCACTGGCCTGGATCCGTTGCTGGTATTCTGTGCTCATAAAATGGCCAATATGGGGACAGATTGCCACACAGCATTTCCCTTCCCTGTGAGATATTTTATCTCCCACATAGTGTTTCCCTTCCCTATGAGGTATTTTATCTCCCTGTATTTTAAACACATAAACTATAAGAGCCAAATGATTACTAGGCTATGCAATAGAAAACCTTACAGTCATTCTGAAGCCAACATTCCTACAACAGCCAGACTTTACTGTGGATCATGCACATTGTTCTTTTGGAACCTGTGTATAAAAATGGGAAACAGAGAGTGTTCTCTTGTCTTGTTATGCCTCATCTCTGTTGTGAATTTTTGTATTCAAACTCGGGAAAATTTGCATCTTAGCTCGTTTTACAATGACCATATATACATTTCAGGGAATTTCATTTCATTTTCCTATAACCATATGGCCTGTATGGGTTGTACCATTTGCAGATTGAAAAGTATATTGCACTGGGACCTCCTAATTATCGTTGTTCTCTTATATTTAGTTATGCAGTCAGTGATCTTGAGGAAGTACTACCTTAACACACTTCAGCCTTGGGTTAATACATTTTATCAAGGGATAAAGTCCAACAACTAAAAAATGGGAGAGTTCTGCATGATCATATGATTTCCCCATGGCCTCTGATATGTTCTCAGCTGAATCCCAGATAATACTCAAAGTAACCTACAATAAGGCCAGCTACAAATCTGCTTGGCAGCTGCTCACATTGTTTAGTGTGAAGCTGAATAGATCCAGGATCAACAAACGTCTGATTGTAAGAGTAAAAAATTGTATGTTTGGCTGCTGAATGTTGGCTGGGAAGCTGGTAGCATGCCTTCAAAGGATTGACATTGATCTTGGTGCGGTCAACTCTGGCTAGTGGTTGCAAGATCATGGAAATCAGTCAGTGTTCCCTCCAGGGGTCGTTTTGTAGAAAAAGAGCTAGGGGAACTCATTAGCATAACTCATTAGCATATGCCACACCCCCTGACATCACCGGAAGTGTGTCATAAGGCCACACACCCCGCCCCCAATGGTCCCGGCTGCCACCGGCCTTGCAGCTCCACTGCCGAGCCCCATGAGGGGCCCAGCGGTGGACCTGCAAGGCCGGCGGGAGTGCAAGGAAGCCCCGCAAAGGCCCTCCCTGGTCCCAGGCAGGCAGGGATGGGGACGGGGGGTGCTCTGCAGCTTATCTGGCTGCTTTTTGCTCTGACTGAGGGCTGCTGGGAGCAGGGGGTGGGGCTTGTTGCATCTGCCCGCCTCTTTACTGCCGGAGCTCCACTCCTGTGCGCTCCTGCAGGAAATGACCCCTGGTTCCCTCTAAGCTGAGTTAGTGTGAGTTAGCTCATGGTTTTTCAGCCTCTGGCTCACACATTTTTGTCTCCGCTCAGGAAGGGATGGCTCCAGAGCAAACTAAGTTATGCAGCAGCCAAATTGCTCGCTCACAACTTTAGTGGCAGGAGCTCACAAAGTGGAATTCTTGCTCACAAGACTCACAGCTGAGAGGGAGCACTGCTCCAGACTACAGAGATTGGTTCCCCCTGGAGAAACTGGATGCTTTGGAGGGTGGACTCTATGGCACTGTACCCCCCCTGTGGTCCCTGGCCTCCCCAGGCTCCACCCCCAAATCTCCAGTTGTTTTCCAACCTGGATCTGGCAAGCCTTATTGAAGGTTAACTGGTGTGGGTTAGTCCACTCACCATAAGTTAGCAGAGTGCTTAAAGAAAGCTACAAACGCAGGAGTGTCACTTTACCAGATCACTCAGCTTACAAAGCTACACAGAGCCACATTGCAAGTTTAGAAGAGAAATTGTTGTTGTTGTTGCTCCGTCGCACAGTCGGGTCCGACTCTTCGCGACCCCATGGACCAGATCACGCCAGGCCTTCCGGTCTTCCGCCGTCCTCTGAAGTTTGCTCAATGTCATGTTTGTTGCATCTGTGACACTGTCTAACCATCTCCTCCTTTGCCGTCCCCGTCTTCTTTGACCTTCAATCTTTCCCAGCCTCAGGGTCTTCTCCAGTGAGTGCTCCCTTCTCATTGGGTGGCCAAAGT